AATTTATCACTTGTTATCAGATATTTTGCTTTGTGCTCTTTGTCACAAGTTTATTCTAAGATTACATTAACAGAATCTTGCAAATCTAGAAATATTTCTCACTCCTTTACTCTTATCTTCCCTTAAAACTAAGGAGGGTCCCTGCTGAGATTCTTTTACCACCTATTCTCCTTCAGTGTCAAAATTATTTATCAGATTTCCTGCTTATCATTACAGAAGTGTCTCTTCCTTAAAAGATCTCTGTGTTGCAGATAGGTATAATAAAAGCCCATTAGGTCTAAAATACACAATAGCATAATATTTTATGCTTTAAAGCAGGGATCCCTAACCGGACCATAAGCTGTTCAGAATCGGGCCACCCAAAGCAGCCGGTAAACACGCACATCTGCACATCCCCATTTATGGCACAGTGGACGAGCATGTGTGGACATGCTCCAAGTGGCCGGCTGCATATTTGCCCACTTGTCTGTTACTCGCACAAATGGAGCTACACACTTGCCCTCTGCTCGGCCAGAAACATCCCCTCTTCCCCTTCCCCCAGTCCTCAAAGTCGGAAAGGTTGGGGAACTCTGCTTTAAAGTATCTTATTCTGCTAAGTGCTAGTTTACTTTGCTTCCTTTACTTTGCATCTTTAACATTGAACCTAAACCATCTCCCTGATAATACAACAAATAGCTGGTGGAAATAGTTGTCAGCCATTCAACGTAAGCCAATTCTGAGGAGAGACACTACATAAAATTATTTTATTGTTATAGGTTATAATGACAGAAGCTTAAAACTTGGCAGAGATTTATAACTCTTTTTCTACTAAAGAGAATCAAGGCAGGAAAATCTTGATTTTTTTTTTCTTCACACTATCTATCCTGGCTAAGATGCTGTTTATATAATAGCCATTGAATTCCTTCTTCAATCTCCATAGATTCTACAGGTATAGAAATAGACAACCATAAAATTACAGCCTTCTGAGTACAGTAACTAATGTGATTTTATTTTTACATTTATAAAAGAGATAAAATTGAAAAAAATAATTAAGTTTTTGTATTTACTTACAGTGTTTTAGTTACCTTTTCCAGGTTCTCAATACAGAATATCTTCTATTTCTGATATCTAAGAAATATATTAACATATGTAGAATTACTTATATGTTCCTATATTATATTTTTTAATGTAAAGAAAGAGAAACAATTTGATCTAGTTAAGTCCTTCATTTAATTATAAAAACCACTTTACCAGAAATGAAGCTGGAGCTTCATGAATCAGAATGTATTAGGATTTCAGCTAAGCAGAATGAGAGAAAAAATAACATAAAGTACAATTCATTTTACTTCCAAGCTGATATGTAAGTTTTCTTCTATGTTGCTGGGACAGCTGTTCCTTCTGCATCCAATTCTTTAACGTTCTTGACTCCAGATATTAGAAGTGACCTACATTTCAGCTCAAGTTTCAGATAATTAAGCTACCAAGAATCCATGTCTTCCTGTCGTTGAACAGGACAAAATGATATGCCAGCTGAATGATCTGCTAAAATGATAAGGACTATTAGGTTTTGGACAGTTCTGAATTCTGCCTTTCTACTCATCTTAATGATGTATACTAGAGTTTAGCAAGGGGAAAATAAATTGCAAGGACAAAAAGAGGAAACATTTGTTGGTCAGAGCCATTTATTGGTCACATGGGGAAGTGGAACTGAAATTTCTTTCAGAAGTGCTGATTTGATTCTATAAGCTAGTTTTGTAGAACAAACTAGTAATATCAGTTTCTATGTCTATCTTCATATAGACTCTTCTACTTCTCCATATTTAATTTTTTATATTGATGCATATTTTGTATGCAACCATACATTCCAAAGCCTTTCACACCTTAAAATATCCTGTTGTCACAATGGCCACAAAGCTCTTTTTGCTTTCAGTGTTGGCTATATCTCTTCAGTCTTTCAATCTTAATTATAGCTCATTGCAACATTGGACTTAGTATGTTGTTATATAGTGTTCACAATATCAGAGAAGAGATATAGAATGATTGCTTTTTATTCCCATAAAGAAACATGGACACAATCAGATTATTGTAGAACAACAGGAAACAGTTCATTTGAAGGAATCAAGAATTGAGCAAATAAGCTTATGGAATATGCAAGGTGGACAAGAATTTAGGATTTTGTTATCAAGGTGATTACATTTGACAATATTCTCACTGAGGCTTCCCTAATCAGATTTATTAAAAAGAAAAGAAATTGGGAATAGAAGCGTCAGGAATTGGATAGTGAATTTATATCTAGGTTTATGTCATCCAGTTTGAGACTGTGCAGTCTCTTAATCTGAGGCATCCAACTGTTATTCTACCTCTCTCCACATGTATGTGTTCACCTAATTTGTATAGATCATTTTATGATTGCATAAATTGCATTCTGTATACTATCAATTATCAATTAGTTGCTAAAATAATATGGTCATAGCAGCGTGGTTATTTTTTTTAAAAAATAAAACACTTCTGTTGTGAAAAGGGTAATACCTCCCTTCTCTTCATTACAAATGTAAGCCTTGTCAAAAGACCAACAATTTATTTGTCAATGTTTGTTTTCTCTGGATTCTGATAAGTTGTGGAAGGACTCACTTTCATTTAATTTAGCACTATCTATTTGAGAATAAGAGAGTACTGGTCATATCTGATTCCTTCCTTCCTTCCTTCCTTCCTTCCTTCCTTCCTTCCTTCCTTCCTTCCTTCCTTCCTTCCTTCCTCCCTCCCTCTCCCTCTCTCCCTTCCTTCCTTCCTTAGTCCCTCCCTCCCTTCTTCCTTCCCTCCCTCCCTCCTTCCCTTCTTTCCTTCCTTCCCTCCCTCTCCCTCTCCCTCTCCCTCTCCCTCTCTCCCTTCCTTCCTTCCTTCCTTCCCTCTGCCTCTCTCCCTTCCTTCCTTCCTTCCTTAGTCCCTCCCTTCCTCCTTCCTTCCCTCCCTCCTTCCCTTTTTTCCTTGTTTCCTTCCTTCCTTCCCTCCTTCTTTCCCTCCCTCCCCCCTCTCCCTTATTTTCTTCCTTCCTTAGTCTCTCCCTCCCTTCTTCCTTCCCTCCTTTCATTCTTTCCTTCCTTCCTTCCCTCCCTCTCCCCCTCTCTCCCTTCCTTCCTTCCTTCCTTCCTTCCTTCCTTCCTTCCTTCCTTCCTTCCTTCCTTCCTTCCTTCCTTCCTTCGCATAGTAGGATATGTTAAGCATAGATTATACCAAATAATGATTTCCCTCTCTCTTTTTGGGGTCATTGTCTGTATCATTTACATAACAGAATAACAGAGTTGGAAGAGACCTTGGAGGTCTTCTAGTCCAACCCCAGTGCAAGCAGGAGACCCTATACAAAAGGTCCCCAACCTTTCCGGGTTGGCAGCCGAAGGAAAAGGGAGGAGCAAGGAAATGTGCGTGCCTCTATGTGTGCGCACATGCGCAAATGGGTATGTGCATGGAGGTGCTAGCACATGCAAATCAGGCCATGTGCACCGGCAAGGCCGGCACTCACATGCATATGCAAAGTGGGGGGTGCTCGCATACATGCGTGCACTTACCAACCATTCCCACGGCCCAAGACAATGTATATCATCATGCCCTATATCATTCTGGACAAATGACTGTCCAATTTCTTAAAAACCTCCACTAATGGAGCACCCTCAATTTCTGAAGGCAAGCTGTTCCACTGGTTAATCTTTCTTGTTGTCAGGAAATTTCTCCTTAGTTCCAGGTTGGTTCTCTCCTTGATTAGTTTCCATCCATTGCTTCTTCTCCTGCCTTCTGGTGCTTCTGGTGGCAGAAAGTACCTGATTAGCTCAATAAAGGAATTTATTGATGTAGCAAATAATATATTTTGATAAGACTGTGATTAATTAAAATATTTACAACAAAGATTCTTTCCAATAAATGAATTGGAATGAATTTTCTTTTAAAAAATTAAATAACAAATAAGTGTGCATCAACGCCACCCCAATTTATTCACTAAACAAACAAACAAACAAACAAACAATCTAAATATAATGGGTTGCATTTCTACCAGTAGGCATCACATTATCAGTTTCATCATTATTGGGGATTATTAGGCAATAGCCAGATGTTGTACTGTGGGTTCAAACCCTCTACCAAAAATTAAACTTACAGATCTTCTTTGTACTTGAATGATAATGTACAGCACATTAATTTTTAGGAGATATCTGGGCCTTGGTGCTCAGTAGTTGAAAGAAGGGATAAATAGAGGCTATCAGAGTGGTACATACAGCCCATTAAGTTTTCAGAACAGGTGTTACATTAGGATAGATCTAAAGTTGTGATAAACTTTAATATGGTGTGATAAAACTTTAGCCATAGAAATATCTTAGAAGGAGGAAAGGAAGAGGAGGAAACATTTTGGTCAGTTCTTCTTTCTACTTTCTGTCCTCTAAAAAGCTCTACAAGAGGGCCAGTGCATTTGCCAAAATAGCATGGGAGATGGTGTTACAGCTAAAAATTGTCCATTCTTCCCACAAAATTCCTAAATATGCACCCTTACTTTTTCATGAAAATTCTTAGTCCTTGCTAGTCGAGGCATATGAGGACCATTCATAGTAGATAGTAATTCCAAGCTACTGCCCATAATATAATACCTATGCCTTCATTATTTCTTGTGTGACAGTTTTATCACATGCTTAGCAAAGAATAAAGGCAAATTCGGTTTTTACTTTCACTGTCACTGTGGAAGACTTGTCTCCTAGAGGATATCCTGAAAAAGCTGAAAAATCGTTGTCTCTTTCACCTGGAAACCTCTGGCTCTTTTTAAAGTGGTAAATTCTGTGTAACAGGCCCCTGAAATGTGAACATTGACAAGTATTAATTAAGAACTTATCTTTGAATAAACAAAGAGCAGTGAACATGATTAAATCTGTTCGTGAAATACAGCAGAACGTTTGGCTTTAATGAGAAAATGCACTCCTCACTCTAGACCAATGGGAATTCCTTTGCAGTGTGTGTTGTAAACATTTCTTCTTTCTCCTTGACAGGTAATATTTGAGGCTGAAGTCTCAGATGGGAGAAATGGCTACATTGCCATCGATGACATCCAGGTTCTGAGCTACCCTTGTGGTAAGTAATGATTAAGAGGCACACTTTTCTTTGTCTTTTCTAAGAGAGGGTCAATATTGTCAGACTGGCGTTTTCATTACTTAAGTCATTGGTGTCTTGCTGCTACCACTGTTTTTCTTCTGTTAGAAAAAGGAAATGAGAATGTCAAAGTCATAAATGTTATTTTGTTATCACATTATTATTTCAATTCAGCTATTCTCTCTCACCCTTAATGGATTGTAATTAAAGTGAAATAAAGAGTGTCTAATAGTTTATTGTGAGCTGGATTTTTTAAAATTCATTTTACTCCCAATAATAAAAGCAGGTAACAACAATTTATCAATCCTATTTTAAAAAAGCATTGTGACAGTTCTGAAAAATTTCTGTGTTCGGATATGGTTTCTCTAATGCAGTTGTTGCTGTATTTGGGGTCGTGTCTTTGAAAATTTGGGGGACAGAGGATATAGACCCCCAGGCTGAATTGAATGCAAGGCGCTGAAGGACAGGAGGAACAGACCCTGCCACGGCAGTGGTCAGATAAGTGGGACTTTAAACCAGTCCAAGAAACTAAATTATGTATACATTTCAGGCAAGCCCTTCCCTAGTTCACACAAAGATAAAAGGGGAAAGGGAGGGCAGGACATATTCAGATTCTGTTACTGTAGCTATTATAATGAAAATAGTCCTGACTATATGGAATTTTTTTTTAGTTTCATATGCCCTTAGTCTGACAGGTTGTATGTACTAGCAGAGCCAAAGGAAATTACATCAGTTCTTCCCCAATATTTATTTATTTATTTATTTGCCGCTTATCTTACCATAAGGTAATTGGGTGGCTCACAACCACAGAAATAATGTATGTATTTATGTATGTATATGTATGTGTATGTGTGTCTACATGGTGGGAGGAGGGAGAGCAGGGGCGGAATGGGGGGAGGTGGGATATGTTGTTACTCAATCAATGACCTCCATTGTGCTGTTCCCCATAACTCAGATAACTAAGTAATAGTGGTAAGTCTTTGATTTAGCCATCAAAACTAGCAATGTATTAATGCAGCTAAAATTCTGGAGAAATGTGCTTCTAGGACCTGGCATTCTTTGGATGTTTATACGTTTTAATTGTTTGAAGTTTCCAAGGTGCCTCACAGACAGACTTGAAGAAATTAATTATAATTAGCTCATTTTATGGAAGAGTGTAATAACAAGTGAAACTGTGTTTGTGGAAACTAGACTAAGCATAATTGCTTATCCCTAATCTTTGGTAATTTAGGAATAGGATAGGATATGAAATTTAAAAGCTGCAAGCTAGCAAAAAACACACCCCTTCCCCCTAGAAATTTGGAAGAAGATCATGACAAACTGCATCTGCATTCTTGCAAAAAAAAAAAAAACCTATGTGGACATCTCCATGTAGTCACTACTTGAGAGAGTCTTTACCTTAATACAGTATTTTTCAACCTCAACAACTCTAGATATATGGACTGGCTGAGGAATTCTGGGAGCTGAAGTACACACACTTTAAAATTGAGGTTGAAATTGAGAAACAGCGAGGTTGAGAAACATTGCCTTAATACATAATAAACCCATACCTTATCTGCTGTCAGTGCCTTTTTCAACCCAATATTTTTTTCATACACAGAGTTTTGTCACAGAGCTTTCCCTGAGGCAATGCAGAAAGTATAAAAAAGGTTTGTCACCGGCTCAAACAATGCTATGTCTGAAATGCAGATGATATTTACTGACAGGGACTCAACATTCCCCCAGTCTACCATAACATACAGCTACAGTAATTAAATCTGATCCTTTGTGTTATTAATGCAGTGGTTTCACATTGAATATCGTTGAAATTCACATTCAGATTTGCAATTTCTTTGCATCCTATTTGGCAAGTCTTCTTACTGAGCTAAAACAATTTTTTTCTTCCATGTATGAATTTATTTTGCCCCAAAGACTCAGTGCTGTGTATCTTTGGGAGAAAAATAATAATAAAAAAATGTGACTGAGCATATCCTTTGGTAACTTTTTTTGCTTTCCCTCTTTCTCTGTATCTTTGGGGGAATTTTTTTTAAATTTTTTTTGACTGAACGTACCCTTTGATAACTTTTTTTGCTTTTCCTATCTCTGCAGATAAATCTCCTCATTTCTTGAGACTGGGGGATGTAGAGGTCAATGCAGGTCAGAATGCAACATTTCAGTGCATTGCTACAGGAAGGGATGCAGTGAAGAACAAGTTATGGCTGCAGGTAAGGCTCATCCTGACCCATTAATAGAAGGCTTCTGATAAAAACAAAGGAGTGCAGTTCCTCAAAAGATTGTAAATGACAGACCTTTGACAGGAAATCATTGTTATTTATTATTTATATCTATTTCAATTTTGTTAGCATCAACTTGCAGCAAGGACCGTTTAAATGCCTCCTTCCTCTATCTGATCTTGCACATACGGAATTTTGTTTCCATTCTGCAGAACAGGCAAGAGGAATGAGGGAGAAAACCTCTCCATATCCTCTTTTCCTGTGAGATTCATTCTTTTTAAGTTGCAAGCTGGTCAATTCTGGGTAGAAGATTAGTGTATTGTTGGTAAAATCGAGCTGATAACATATTATCACAAAGCCGGCTCCACATATTTTTTCTGACTGAGGAAAAGATCATGGTGCACCTTCTCCCATTCTGCAAAATGGTGAGATTGACCGTTCAGTTGTTTCAGGTGTCTTCAAACTTGTCCCTTTTAGGACTTGTGGACTTCAACTCCCAGAATTCCTCAGCCAGGCTCGCTGGCTGAGGAATTCTGGGAGATGAAGTCCACAAGTTCTAACGTTTGTGATTCATAATACAATACTACTAGTTCATATTGTCAGAATGGAGCTTGTGTGCTTGAATTCCAGTTGTTGAATTCTATCTAGGAAACTTTTTGAGAAGATGGTACAAAGAACCTCCTTTGTCCTTTTTGCTTTTTCCATCCTTTTCCCCAAAGCTTTTCAGCATGAAACCATTGGAAGAAGTCAACCATGCATTTGTTACTCCAAAGAATAATTGCCTAGGATTACAACATCGTTTTCTTGCTCAAGAATATTGCCTTGTTTCAAGTCATTCCACATGCTTCATTGAAAACGTATATATTTTCAGACATGGTTGTGCAGTTCTAAGTATTTTGGGCTTTTGGGCTTTATGTCTTGTATAGCAAGTATTGATTCATTTGATCATTTCTCACTTTGAATTTGAAATGTGTGAATTCTACCAATGAACTGCTTTCTTCCGTTATATTCTTTTAGGGCAATGAATATGGGGTCATGGCTAGTTTCTCCACACAAAATAACATTCTGACAATGATCCAGCTGCTGGGGTGTGTGTCAAATTTGAGTAGAAAGTTGTAAGTCTCACTTTGCTTAGGCAAATGAGCTTCTCTTCCTCAAATGCAGTTAGGCTTTCAATGGCTGGAAAAAAAATAAACATACCAGCAGAGTATCTTGAGGTTAGAGTACGGTCATATGCAATATCAATTTGTGTAGTCTTTTTACTATGTATCCTCCATCCTTCTATAAAACCCTGATCACATCTTGTGTTGCTGCTGATGATCCTGGACAGGATTTGCTCATAATGTGTTCTTCATTGGCTGGAACCTATTCTTGATATTCTTCCCGGCTTGCTGCTCAGCACAGCCTAGGTCTGCCTGGCTATCCATTTGCTCTGTGTGAATACCATCTCCTTCCAGTGGCTAGACCCTATCCTGAAGTATCTTCCACAAATGAAGCATGAAAGAGTTCCTCACCAGTGGAGAAAATAGTTTGCACAAATCGTGTGGAACTACCAACTCATAAAGGGCCAGGGTTACCCTTAAGATAATGGGTATGTTGACAACAACAGGTTATAATATCCCTTTTCTGCCTGCTTCTAATAAGTGGTTACACAGACAACAATATTTTCTCTGGGTTCTGTTTCCATGCTGGCTTTGCTGGCTGCAAGCGCAGCCTTTACATCAGACTAGATGGGACTTGAAGTGAGAGGGCGTTTGGAGGTTAGCTTGGAAATGGCTGCAAGCTCCTGGCACTGCACCAGAGTCCCTGAGCCAGGTTGTGTCTGGAGCTTCTGGGCTCTGTCCTAAAGGGAACTGAGCAGATTTCAACCAAATTCCTTGTGTCACACAATTCAAGATCTAGCAGCTGAAAGCACACAACAGGGAAAAAATATTATGGCTTCACAAAAAGAGTGAATCCAGCCTATTTATCTATCCGTTCAGCTAGTTTATACCTCAATATATTGTGCAACTCCAGAAAATGGATTTCTAGTAAGAGATCAAGTGTCGTATAAAAACTTCAACTGTTTGGATAGGCAGGTGACAGAATGGAGTTCTGATGGTGAATTTTCCATATGCAAAGGGAGCATAGAATGGGATAAGGAACACATTCAATATTAAACTAGTTCCCTGGCACACTATTAAAAAATAGGAGCTTATTAGTTTTACTCATGGAGGAGTCATACAAATTCCTTAGTCATTGGGAGGGGTTCTGGATTTGAATACCTCTGCTTTGGTGTAAGTCTAGCCAACGATCTGCCAGATATTTTTGGAATATGACTTGGCATCTAATTTTTGGACAAGTTGATTGGGTTCGATGTAAACTGAAGTCTAGCAAACACCAAAGGAGCACAGAGTCTCCATTGTTACTATGGCTTTGAGAATTCTTTTCATTTTCTGCAGCATTTTTCTCAAATTCTTGAAGTCAGTGAATAATCCAAAAGTTTGCTTTATCCTATGGTTTGTTCAGTGGACATACGTATGTGCATACAATGTATAGAAGGGAGGAATATGAATGGATGGATGGAATTGGATGCTTTAGCAAACTTCAAATAGTTTGGCACATTTCTGACACAATATGAAATAATTTCAAATATAACATAGAAAGGGCAAAGAACAAGGATTAAAAAATATCCTGAGTTATGTTATTTAGCCAAGTCTTTGTTAGTTTAATGTGAATATCAGAGCCATTTTCTTTCGACATTATCTCTTATTTACTTGTTTTGGAATGATAATGAATAGCATAAAATGTCCCAAAAGGTTTTAAGATCTCACTTATATGCCCAGAATAAGGTAACACCTGTACTGCCCCACCCGTAAAGCCTTGTGCTTGGAACATCTGCTAAACCATATGCCCTGTCTCCCAGTTTAGTTGTTCATAACTGAATCACTAATGAATCTATCCATCACTGTTGTGTCTTGGCATCCACACATCATTTGGCTTGGACAGAGAAGCTTGGCCTCCTTTTGCAATTCTGTTTGCATTCTGACATGCAGGCCAGGGTGCTACCATTGATTTTGATCTGTCCAAAATTAAGAAGCTAATCACGTTCACTTACAAAAAAAGAAAATTAAAGCTTGACTGGTAATCCTATGCAGATTGAGATAGAAAGCAAAAAATGCATGTAGGCCAATCTGTCTGCAGTGGCTTTAGGTGCTGGCTAAATGCCTCCTCTGTTGGCAAGCCAAAGCTGGAAGTTTTTATTAAAACTTTTGAAAAGGAATATTAAAAACTAGTACAAACCAATATAAATCAAGGAAGAAAAAAAATGGAAAATAAAAAAATGAAAGCAAAATAAAAAATAGAAGGGAGAAAAAAGTTGGAAAAATAGAAAAGAAAGAAAAATAGAAAAGAAAAATATATATGAAATGACTTCCGCTATCTTCAGTGCGTTTATAAGTACAAATATATTTTAATCTTTGTGTAAAAATTGATTTTATTTTTCTTTCTGTGATCTAACCTATCTAATCATCAAATCCATTAAACACAAGTTTATTCTGTTTTTTTTTTTCCTTTTTATGCAAAAAGTCTGTAAGAGCGTTCTTCTCTAACGAAAGAAGTCAATGTATCCATTTCAGCAAAATCTTCAACTACAACAACCCAGGCTCCATAGTGAATAGCGTTAAATCTTTCCATCCCTTTGCATATAGTAATCTTGCCAGAGCAATATAGTTATTGAAATAATCTTTCATGGGTTTTTTGCCCATTTGTCCATTAATCCTAAAAGGAAGTGCTCTGTCTTAGGTTGGATATTGATTTATTTGAATCCATGTTTAAGCAATTTTTTTTAACATGTCCTTTCACGTTGTTCACCTTTCCAACATACATTTGAAGTAACTTGATTTTTAAAGTCTGTACTAATTTTAACTTTATAGTACCATAAATATCCATGCCATCCAAACTTCTGGTCATGATTGTCTAAAAGTCTCGTGTTTCTTAGCAACGTCAGTTCTTTCATTCAGACCAACAACAAGCAGCAAAATACAATTTCAAATCTGGTAAACCCAATTCCCCTCTTTTCTTTGCATCTTGTTATACCTTATATTTAACTTGTGATGTAATACGTTATATTTAACTTGCGATTTTTTAAAATTTAGATATAACATTTTGCCATTGTATAAATGGTAAGTCCATTGTCAAAACAGGTATTGTCTAAAATAAAAAAAATCATTTTTGGCAAAACTTTATTTGTACACCACCCAGAATTATTGTATAATAACCGGAATCCCTCTTTGAGGGATTTGGGCAGTTCAGAAATGTGAAAAACACATACATACATACATACATACATACATACATACATACATACATTTTAATCATAGAAATTCTACCCAACAGTGACAATTTTAATTTTTCCATTTTAACATGACCTTTTAAATTTCAGTCCATGTCTTAACATAATTAATTTGAAGTAATTTACAATTCATATTTACTATAGTAAATTATTTTACTTTTTTCTCATAAAAACAGTTTTCTCCATCAGTTCTATTTCATCTTCAAATTTCAAAGTTTTGTTATCTTTGTATTTTGATTATTATTCTTGAAACTTGCTAAAATATCAAAGGCTTTAAATATCCTATTAATTGTTCTATTTCTGCTAGATTTCCTAAAATTAATATCAAAACATCCACAAATGCCCCTAATTTATAATTTTTTAAAAAATCTTAACTTGATTTTCTGAGCTTGATTTATATCTCTGTTCAGTTCTTGAAGGAAAAAAAATGAACAAAAGTAGAAACAGTGGCCTTCCTTTTCTGAATCTTACAAGATTTTATTAGTTCTCCATTAACAATTATTTGTGCTTTCTGAAAAGTATAAATCAATCTTACCCATTTAATAAAATTATCCTCAAGGTTCATATGTACCAGAATGCAGTAAAAAATTTCTATTCAAAGTCTCAAAAAGACCTTCTCTTCATCTAAGAATATAATGCAGTTTGTTATTCATTATGT